CAGTAGGGTCAACAATATCTGTGTTGGCATTTGTAGTGGTGGCAGCTAATGGACTGGTTAAGTCGTTGCCAGAATTAGAGTTAAAGAAATTATTTATTTGGTTGTAATTATTCATTAGCAAGGTCATTAGCGTTAGAGACAGTTTGTCTGTTATTTGAAATAATAAATGCATGTATTAAATCAATAAGGGCATCCATTTTTTTACCCATTTCACTTACAACCAGCAAGTTTTGGCTTACTACTTGCATCAGTTGGTCAATCCCATCTGAGGCCCCAAGCTTCTGGTAGTGTTGATTCTGGGGCGACTGTAGCTCTCTATGTTGTTGTTGCTGTTGTTGTTGGTGTCCACGGGGGTTGGGAGGAGACCTGCCAATGTTGCTGTTGCCCTGATTTACATCAGATTGCTGCATGTTTTTGCTGGAATGTTGGCGGCTTGGCGCCGTATTAATAATATTAGAGTTCCTGCTTGCGTTTGGCTGTTGGGGAATATTTTGTTGCCGCTGCGGGCTTGTGGGCGTATTCTTCTCTGATCCTCGATGATGCTGCTGTACCTGCTGCCCATGGGAATGCACGCCATTTTGGCCATGCGACTGCTTTTCGTTGATTCTAAAAGGATTACTGGAGAGTTGGCCATTTGAGACCCCGTTAGTGTTTTTCCTGCTTGTCGCCAGCTGTGAGTCTTCCTGAGGCGGACCCTTCTGTGATTTGGTCAGACCATGGTGCTGCTGCTGCCACCTGAAGCTGTTGTTAGTTGCATTCCATCGTCCTGAGTTGTTGCTAGTCTGACGTAGCCAATTTGTCCGCTTTTGACTTCCAATTGCAATATGTGCTCTATATGATTGTAGTTTTGCCTGGGCTCGCTTGAACTCCTCACAGCCCCTGTAGCTGGCAACATGTCCTTTCCCACAATTTGCGCATTTTGGGTTTGGAATCCTAGCTCCACTGCAGTCAGTCGATGGGTGTGCTCCGGCACATTTTAAACAGACAAACGGTCGGCGACAGTAATTTTTGCTGTGGCCAAAGCATTGACATCGGTGGCATTGAACGGGGTCAATACGTCTCATTTGACGTTCAACCACGATTTCCTGATTTCCCATCGTTTTTACTGTTAAGATCTTATCATTCGTATTGTCCAACGTTGGCTCCAGCTCGACTTCAAACATGTTGAGGGGTTTTCGGTTGCTTCTATGTTTAATAACGTTTATATAGCGTACGGAAAACCCTAACTCACCAATATGTTTGCGAATCCATTCACAGGGAGTAGAGTGATGTAGATTTCTCAAGATGACACGGTAGCCACGCTCCCTACGCAGCTGGTGAGTGTGCATCTGTCTCTTGTCTACATCCAGTTTGGCCAGAACTCTATGGTAAGTTCCCATATCAGCGCAGTCCAGTTTTATTTTATTGCCCTTTACACTTGTAGTAGTAAATTTATTTTTATCTCCTGGTGCGTTGTTAAGAGATTCTATAAGGGGCTGAATATTAGTAACATCATGTAAATAAATGGCAGGTATTTTAACATCTGTGATCGGTCGTTGAGGTATATGTTGTTCTGCAGCATAATGCTGCGCAGGCTGCTGCTTTTGTTGAGGCTGCTGTCTCAAACATGGCTCCACTGTCAAGTCCACAACATCATCCAGTGTGAGTGGGTCCATTTCCATGTCATCGGGGGGGGGGCTAGTTAGTTTTGTAGCGGCTGCTACTGTTGTCATGGTTTTGGGAAGATTTTTCCCCGTTTTAACTGTAGTTTTCGGCCCAATATTTGCTTTAATGGCCTCCGTCATCAAGGCAGCAGCGGAAGGTTGAATTCGTTTGGGACGAGACAGACTCAAACATAGAACTTTCTTCCTTTTACTACATAGGGGCCCTGGTTTTGAGTATGGAGTTGATTTCAGCCAGGCATCTAATGGCTTTGGTATCCTGCTTTTGGCAAATTGTTTGGGAGTAGAGGCAACTCCTGGTCTCGTAGTCCCTTGGCTGGGAGGCATGTTTTTGCCAGTGCCTTTTTTTTCATCATCAGTGATGCTGCTGTTTGGGGAAGAATTGCATGATACCATAGGGGAGGCGTCCGTGTGTGTGCCATCAGTCATAGTAGTATCCGAATTGCAGATGCTGGGTGCATCGTTGTTGCCCTGTGTATCATTCCATTTCCCCTTAGCCTCGTATACCTCATTTTCTAAGAGCATACCGGTTACATTTGTATTAGTGTTCCCACCTGCACTTGGTTCAGCTGCCGGTGTGTGCAAGGGAAGTGGTGGCGACAGCGGGGGGAATAATTCCACCGAATTTGGGCGCCTATCCATCTCACTCTCACTTGGTTTAGCTCCTTTGTTAGTATTAGCTTTGGCGCGGGGGTTCATTTGTATGTGTTTGTATTTTGGCGCGTAAAGTCTTTGGATTTGTACAGCTATTTAACGCACACCGGTGAATGCTTATGTGTATTTGCTTTATTACACAGAAGAGAAGAGACTCTCGCTTTACCAATACGTACTCATTAGGTATTACATAGAGAATTTCACCACGGAAAAAGCGCGGGGTTTTCTTTGGATTGTTGTAATTTGGCGCAAAAGTCTTGTAAATGTTTTAAGTCATTCAGCGTACATAGGTGCATGCTTATGTATATACNATTCCGAGGGCTATACGTCGTTCTTGCTCCAGGCGTTTTCGCTGATCAGATGCCTCCTTGGCTCGGGCCTCATTAGACAGACGCTGCTGTTCAAGTGCAATCTGCTCACGGTGGATTAAAGTTGGCAGCGGCTGCTGCTTTTGGGCTGCTGCTTCCTGCAAGAGCTGCTGTTGGAGCGGAAGAACGTGAGTTTCCAGCTGCCTTTTGTATCTCGGCCGTTCCAATCTCCGGGGGATGAATGGATGCATAATAAGCTTTCTTGCTTCCAGATTTGGATGAGTAGAGAGTGATGTTGCCATCCTGCTGCTATACGTATTAAAGATGTCCTCTGCTGAGTCGATGTTGTGTGCCTCTCGGATGTCCTGGCTTCTGATGTATCTGCTGGCCATTGCAATCTTTCTCACGAGCCGGTTTTGCGTGCCTTCTATCCTACAGAATTGAGAGTCACATACCAAGGCCCCCCACACAGGTAGGGCATATTTCCATATCGGGGCGATTAATTGCTTATATACAATCATTTTGCATTCTTTTGACAGACGGCTCTGGCTGCCTATAATCCAGTTTAACTTGATGGCTGCTCCCCTCACTCTATCAACCAGACATGATACATGTGCATGTAGAACCAGCTTCCTGTCCATTATCAGTCCTAGGTACCGGTGACTGGACTTATTAACAATATGAGTATCATACATTTTTGGTGACAGTTCTCTAATTCCATTTTCAATTGATTTCCTTGTGTATAATACATGTATCGTTTTGTCTTTGTTTAGGCTGATGCCCCATTTAGAGGCCCAGGAGGTGAAGCTTTGGAGATATTTCTCGTTCGTACGGACCGCTGTAGTGGCCAAGCTTCTGGCACACAGGATGATGGTGTCGTCTGCGTATGTAGATAGCAACATGTCCTTATAGTAATCTGACCTCCATCTATCATTTTGTCCCTCTAGGTGCGGCAGCGGCATATCTGACGTGAAAACAGTATACAACACGGGGCCTAGGACACTCCCCTGTGGGACTCCAGCGCAGATTTTTCCGGATCTAGATCGTAGTCCGTTTTGGCCATTTACAATAAATGATCTATTAGTGAGATAACTTTCTAGAACCTTGTAATACGCAAAAGGCAGTAGCTTGGCCAGCTTGAGCAGTAGGCCACTATGCCAAACTCTGTCGAAGGCTTCACTTATGTCTATGAAAACAGCAGAACAGTATAATTGTTTTTCGTAGGAGTCCAGAATGTATTGCGTGACGCGTGCCAATTGCTGTTCAGTGCTATGATGTCTCCTAAACCCAAACTGGTGAGAAGGAATGGCATTTTCAAATTCCCTGCATTCAAACATTCGTTTCATTAGCAGCGTTTCAAAAAGCTTTGAGAAGCCAGCCAAGAGGCTAATTGGTCGGTATGAGCCAACATCATTTGCGCTTTTGCCTGGTTTCTTGATCATTGTAATTGCAGCACATTTCCATTGTTTGGGAAAATGGCCGTGTCTAAGTATCGAGTTATAAATGTATGTCAAGTAAATGACTGCTTTATGAGGCAGGGCTTTTATAACTCTATTATTTACCCGATCCATCCCAGGGGCTTTTTTATTTTTTAGAGATCTAATTTCCAGCATGACTTCATTTGGTGAGATGGGCCTGAATGGAGGTTTATTTCCGTCGCTAGTTTCCCCAAATTGCTGCCTTTGGAGCCATTCCGGTGTTGCTGTTAAGCGCTTTAGCTGTTCTAGTTCTTTGCGCTCCTCTTCCACCCCGTTCCTGAATTCCTCAGTGTTGACTAGTTTTGGTGCAAATCTTTCTTCTAGGTGCGAAACCTTCTTCGCGCTCATCTCCGGGACTTGAGTCTCTTTTTTATTTTAAATTTTTAATTGTCAGGTACTTATTTTCTTTCATTTGCGTTGAACAGAACAATTACAATATTTGATCTTAATTTAACATGGTGGTTTTTACACTTAAAATGTGCCTTAGCTATGTCTGGAGTGGACGGATTTAAACAATTGACAATAGACCAAGTTGCAACATTTACACACACATGAAAAATGAATTTTAAAAATGGGTCAAACGCACAGGAAAAAAGTCACACAAACAAAAAATTTGGGAGAGGCAGTTGCCCGCATATATAATATGCAAAGTGGTCGGTATATGGGCAGATAATTAGCACAAGCAATTTTAACTCAATTGCTGTTTTTTTAAATCACACACTAATTCGCGCAAGACACACTCTTCGCGCGCACACACACTCTCGAAAAAACCGCTCGACTTGTACTTATTATTGGCGGGGGCGGACACGAAAAAATATAATTATATAATTATTCGCCAGAGCTGCACACGTACTGCTGGCTGCCGGGGCTCAAGAACGACTCATCAGAGCGATGCCTCGAGCGATGCCAATATTGCTACAGGCAATTACTCGAGGGGATCGGCTCCAGATTCGTCTCCCCCTGCATACCCACAGTACGTGTGTCTGTCGATCGGTCAGTCAGGGTAATTGGGGAGAGTACAAGTGAGAGTCAGAGTGTTTTTAGTTGTGTGCAGTGCCTAAAAGAATGCTACGAATTAGTGTGACTTTGTCAAAAATATGCTTGTGCTTTGGCTAACGCCCAGGAGTTGACATAGTCAAGTAGGGGGACTTTGCATATATAGGAAAAATTTATACATTTACATTTAAAGAACCCTAAGGCAGTCAACATAAACATACATTTTGTTATTGACGATATTGCGGCACGTGTGTCCTTCGACCCCTTTCTTACCCTTGCCACCTGCTGAAGGCAGGTGACTAGGAATGCAGCGTAGGTGCATGTGGGTCGGGCAATATATGAGGGGACGGTACTGGCATATGTAACGACACGGAAACATATTTGGCACTAATACGGGACAAAAATAATAATGAAAAATTCACACATATTAGGCCGTGGCGGCTGGCGACAATTTGCCTGCCAGAGTCCGAAATTAATATTTTCCAGACAATGGCAGGCAAATTGCCGCGCAATACAAATTTGCCGAACATTTGCTGGCAGTTTTAAATGGCAAGTGTGAATATAAATATTCACACTTGAGTTGTTTCGTCAGTTGACATAGAAATTTAGGGGCCTTCCAGGGTTATTTACAGGGTATATTGTGTGGTGGGGTGGGGAACTGTCAAAAGTGACAGTCGAAAACAAGCCGTGTTTCGCGCAGCGTAAACACTTTGTCTGGTAAGTGGAAAATTTAGAATTTAGAAAACAAATTGGGGAATGGACTGCATGGCTTGGAATGTACATAAAGGTAAGTACATGAAATGGAGGTACAAGCTCATGCAAAACGGACAGTAATTGGGGACAACAATAATCTACAGAAACTACAATGAACTACAGAACCACATACGACAGAATGTAAACAAGACAATACAGATATAAAACTGAACTACATTTAACATGACATTAAGTGAGACAATTTAAAATAACAATATGGTCAAGATCTATAGTATGTGTCATAATTCTAATTATAATTATCTTAATTTGCTATTTTTTCAGAGGAGACGGACAACAACAAAGCATCGGCCGGCATAGCAGACAAACATATGTTTGTGCACAATGCGCATATGAGCATTGTGTTGCATGCCGGCCAACTCTGCCGTCCCCCCCCCTGGACGTCATAAATGGAAGGAATCACCCGCAAATTTTAGTGGAAGGTAAGTGTATATAGTATTTTGCGGATGATTCTACTAATTTAATTTACTTGGGGCGGGCAAATTTGCGCGCCCTATTTTTCAGCGCCGTCGTCGTGGTGGATGTTGATGCTGCTGCCGCTGCCGCTGCTGCTGCTGCTGACTTCTGGCTGCTGGTGTTGGATGCAGGTGGAGATAGACATTGACCAGTGGCGCTGGTCCGGCCACCGGAGGATGGAGAGAGACACTCGCCACACACATGTGCACCCTCAGCGGCTCGGGTCCGGCCGCCTGGATGGTGCATGAATTGGCGTGTGATTGTGTGCGAGTGTCGGAATTGGCGTGCCTCTGGACAAGCTGTCCAAAGTTGTCGCACTCGACCATAATTAGGCGGCTCTGGTCCGGCCGCCTGCAGGTGAGTGATTGTTGTAGTTGTTTTGTGCTTGTTTTATTTTATTGTATTTATTTTAATTGTTTTCCTCTTTTATTTTCAGGTTTTTCTGCAGAGGCGCATCGTCGATTAGTGGCTGGCCACGCCATCAACAAATACACTCTCTATGGACCAGAGGAGTGTATGGAATGGAAGAGAATGATGGCGTGACGAATCGTGGAGGGCGTGGCATGTTCGCGCCCCTTGTCCAGTGCACGACAAACCTCAAGCGGCTGCTGGTCCGGCCGCCTGCAGGTAAGTACGTGTTTTTTGTAGTTTGGTGATTTTTTGCATCTTCTTTTTATTTATGTTTATTTGTTCCAGGTTTCCTTGCAGGACTGCGTCATTGGTGTTGATTTGGATGCTTTTGCTGCTGCTGCTGCTGCTGCTGCTGCTGGTTGGTAAGTATGTGTTTTTGTTGTTTTATTTATATATTATTTGTATTTAATTGATTTTTCTTTTTATTTCAGGTTCCTCAGCTGAGGAAATGGCCGCCCACACTCGCATCCAGCGGGCTTTCCTTGGACCAGGAGGAAGCGACTGGGCTTGGAGAGGATGTAGGCGTGGAAATTGCTGAGGGCGTGGCATTTTTGGGCGCCCCCGTGTCAAGACATCAGACCACGGTCAAGCGACTGCTGGTCCGGCCGCCTGGAGGTGAGAATATGTATTTGTTGACATTTGTTTTTGTATTTGCTTTTNTCCTGAATTCCTCAGTGTTGACTAGTTTTGGTGCAAATCTTTCTTCTAGGTGCGAAACCTTCTTCGCGCTCATCTCCGGGACTTGAGTCTCTTTTTTATTTTAAATTTTTAATTGTCAGGGAACTTCTTAATGGCGTTTTCACAGAACAAAATTGTACAAAATATTTGATCTTAATTTAACATGGTGGATTCACTTATGTGCAAAAGTTATGTCGGTAGTGGACAGTTGAAAAACAAATTGACAAAAACTAAATTGCAACATTTACACACACATGAAAAATGAATTTTTAAAAATGGGTCAAAACGCACAGGAAGAAAGTCACACAAACAAAAAATTTGGGAGAGGCAGTTGCCCGCATATATAATATGCAAAGTGGTCGGGTTTATGGGCAGATAATTAGCACAAGCAATTTTAACTTAATTGCTGTTATTTAAAATCACACACCAATTCGCGCAAGACACACTCTTCGCGCACACACACAACTCCGATTCCGCTCGACTTGTACTTATTATTGGCGGGGGCGGACACGAAAAATATAATTATTTGCCAGAGCTGCGACGTACTGCTGGCTGCCGGGGCTCAAGAACGACTCCAAGAGCGATGCCTCGAGCGATGCCAATATTGCTACAGGCAATTACTCGAGGGGATCGGCTCCAGATTCGTCTCCCCCGGCATACCCGCCGTACGTGTGTCTGTCGATCGGTCGGTCAGGGTAATTGGGGAGAGTACAAGTGAGAGTCAGTTTTCAGTTGTGTGCAGTGCCTAAAAGAATGCTACGAATTAGTGTGACTTTGTCAAAAATATACTTGTGCTTTGGCTAACGCCCAGGAATTGAAATGGTCAAGTAGGGGGGACTTTGCATACATAAAGAAATTTATACATTTACATCTAGAAACCCTAAGGCAGTCAACATAAACATACATTTTGTTATTGACGATATTGCGGCACGTGTGTCCTTCGACCCCTTTCTTACCCTTGCCACCTGCTGAAGGCAGGTGACTAGGAATGCAGCGTAGGTGCATGTGGGTCGGGCAATATATGAGGGGACGGTACTGGCATATGTAACGACACGGAAACATATTTGGCACTAATACGGGACAAAAATAATAATGAAAAATTCACACATATTAGGCCGTGGCGGCTGGCGACGAATTTGCCTGCCAGAGTCCGAAATTAATATTTTCCAGACAATGGCAGGCAAATTGCCGCGCAATACAAATTTGCCGAAACATTTGCTGGCAGTTTTTAATGGCAAGTGTGAATATGAATATTCACACTTGAGTTGTTTCGTCAGTTGACGGAGAAATTTAGGGGCCTTTTTTGGGTTATTAGCAGGGTATATTGTGTGGTAAGGTGGGGAACTGTCAAAAGTGACAATCAAATACAAGCCGTGTTTCGCGCAGCGTAAACACTTTGTCTGGTAAGTGGAAAATTTAGATATTAACAACAGATTGGGGAATGAACTGCATGGCTTGGAATGTACTTAAAAGTAAGTACATGAAATGGAGGTACAAGCTCATGCAAAACGGACAGTATTTGGGGACAACAATTATCTACAGAAACTACAATGAACTACAGAACCACATACAACAGAATGTAAACAAGACGATACAGATATAAAACTGAACTACATTTAACATGACATTAAGTGAGACAATTTAAAATAACAATATGGTCAAGATCTAAAGTATGTGTCATAATTCTAATTATAATTATCTTAATTTGCTATTTTTTCAGAGGAGACGGACAACAACAAAGCATCGGCCGGCATAGCAGACAAACATATGTTTGTGCACAATGCGCATATGAGCATTGTGTTGCATGCCGGCCAACTCTGCCGTCCCCCCCCCTGGACGTCATAATTGGAAAGGAATCACCCGCAAATTTTAATGGAAGGTAAGTGATTGTGATATTTTGCGGATGATTCTACTAATTTAATTAACTTGGGGCGGGCAAATTTGCGCGCCCTATTTTTCAGCGCCGTCGTCGTGGTGGATGTCGTTGCCGCTGCCGCTGCTGCTGACTTCTGGCCGCTGGTGTTGGATTCCGGTGGAGATAGACATTGACCAGTGGCGCTGGTCCGGCCACCGGAGGATGGAGAGAGACACTCGCCACACACATATGCACCCTCAGCGGCTCGGGTCCGGCCGCCTAGGATGGTGCATGAAATTGGAGTGTGATTGTGTGCGAGTGTCGGAATTGGCGTGCCTCTGGACAAGCTGTCCAAAGTTGTCGCACTCGACCATAATTAGGCGGCTCTGGTCCGGCCGCCTGCAGGTGGGTGATTGTTGTAGTTGTTTTGTGTTTGTTTTATTTTATTTATTTATTTTAATTGTTTTCCTCTTTTATTTCCAGGTATTTCTGCAGAGGCGCATCGTCGATTAGTGGCTGGCCACGCCATCAACAAATACACTCTCTATGGACCAGAGGAGTGTATGGAATTGAAGAGAATGATGGCGTGACGAATCGTGGAGGGCGTGGCATGTTCGCGCTCCTTGTCCAGTGCACGACAAACCTCAAGCGGCTGCTGGTCCGGCCGCCTGCAGGTAAGTACGTGTTTTTTGTAGTTTGGTGATTTTTGCGTCTTATTTTTTATTTATGTTTATTTGTTCCAGGTTTCCTTGCAGGACTGCGTCATTGGTGTTGATTTGGATGCTTTTGCTGCTGCTGCTGCTGCTGCTGGTTGGTGAGTATGTGTTTTTGCTGTTTTATTTATATATTTTTTGTATTTAATTGATTTTTTTCTTTTTATTTCAGGTTTCACAGCTGAGGAAATGGCCGCCTATACTCGCATCCAGCGGGCTTTCCTTGGACCAGGAGGAAGCGACTGGGCTTGGAGAGGATGTAGGCGTGGAAATTGCTGAGGGCGTGGCATTTTTGGGCGCCCCCGTGTCAAGACATCAGACCACGGTCAAGCGACTGCTGGTCCGGCCGCCTGGAGGTGAGAATATGTATTTGTTGACATTTGTTTTTGTATTTGCTTTTATTTATTCATTTTTTATTTCAGATTTCTGTGCAGGGCAGCGTCTTCGATGTTGAATTTGGTGCTGTTGCTGCTGCTGCTGCTGCTGGTTGGTAAGTATGTGTTTTTGTTGTTTTATTTATATATTATTTGTATTTAATTGATTTTTCTTTTTATTTCAGGTTCCTCAGCTGAGGAAATGGCCGCCCACACTCGCATCCAGCGGGCTTTCCTTGGACCAGGAGGAAGCGACTGGGCTTGGAGAGGATGTAGGCGTGGAAATTGCTGAGGGCGTGGCATTTTTGGGCGCCCCCGTGTCAAGACATCAGACCACGGTCAAGCGACTGCTGGTCCGGCCGCCTGGAGGTGAGAATATGTATTTTTTGGCATTTGTTTTTGCATTTGCTTTCATTTATTCATTTTTTTTATTTCAGATTTCTGTGCAGGGCAGCGTCTTCGATGTTGAGTTGGGTGCTGTTGCTGCTGCTGCTGCTGCTGCTGCTGGTTGGTAAGTATGTGTTTTTGTTGTTTTATTTGTATATTTTTGGTAATTAATTGATTTTTTCTTTTATTTCAGGTTTCTCAGCTGAGGAAATGGCCGCCTATACTCGCATCCAGCGGGCTTTCCTTGGACCAGGAGGAAGCGACTGGGCTTGGAAAGGATGAAGGCGTGGAAATTGCTGTGGGCGTGGCTTTTTGTGCGCCCCCGTGTCAAACATCAGACCACGGTCAAGCGGCTGCTGGTCCGGCCGCCTGGAGGTGAGAATATGTATTTTTTGACATTTGTTTTTGTATTTGCTTTTATTTANGTTGTTTTATTTGTATATTTTTGGTAATTAATTGATTTTTTCTTTTATTTCAGGTTTCTCAGCTGAGGAAATGGCCGCCTATACTCGCATCCAGCGGGCTTTCCTTGGACCAGGAGGAAGCGACTGGGCTTGGAAAGGATGAAGGCGTGGAAATTGCTGTGGGCGTGGCTTTTTGTGCGCCCCCGTGTCAAACATCAGACCACGGTCAAGCGGCTGCTGGTCCGGCCGCCTGGAGGTGAGAATATGTATTTTTTGGCATTTGTTTTTGCATTTGCTTTCATTTATTCATTTTTTTTATTTCAGATTTCTGTGCAGGGCAGCGTCTTCGATGTTGATTTGAGTGCTGTTTCTGCTGCTGCTGCTGCTGGTTGGTAAGTATGTGTTTTTGTTGTTTTATTTATATATTTTTGGCAATTAATTGATTTTTCTTATATTTCAGGTTTCTCAGCTGAGGAAATGGCCGCCTATACTCGCATCCAGCGGGCTTTCCTTGGACCAGGAGGAAGCGACTGGGCTTGGAAAGGATGAAGGCGTGGAAATTGCTGTGGGCGTGGCTTTTTGTGCGCCCCCGTGTCAAACATCAGACCACGGTCAAGCGGCTGCTGGTCCGGCCGCCTGGAGGTGAGAATATGTATTTTTTGGCATTTGTTTTTGCATTTGCTTTCATTTATTCATTTTTTTTATTTCAGATTTCTGTGCAGGGCAGCGTCTTCGATGTTGAGTTGGGTGCTGTTGCTGCTGCTGCTGCTGCTGCTGCTGGTTGGTAAGTATGTGTTTTTGTTGTTTTATTTGTATATTTTTGGTAATTAATTGATTTTTTCTTTTATTTCAGGTTTCTCAGCTGAGGAAATGGCCGCCTATACTCGCATCCAGCGGGCTTTCCTTGGACCAGGAGGAAGCGACTGGGCTTGGAGAGGATGAAGGCGAAAATATTGCTGAGGGCGTGGCATTTTGGGCGCCCTGTGTCAGCACTCGACCGTAACCAAACGGCTTTTGGCCCTGCCAACCTGCAGATGAGTGCTTAGATGGAGTATTGTTTGTATATTTTGATTTAATCAGTTTTCTTTTATTCTATTTCAGGTTTTGCTGCAGGTGCTGCGTCGTCGCTGAAGGATTAAATGCTGCTGTTGCTGTTGATTGACGGCCGCTTGCATGTAGGTATTTGTATTTGTTGGTTTGTTTTGCATTTTATTTTAATTGCTATTAGTTGTAGTTTTATTTTTATTTCAGGTTTCTCTGCCGCGGCTGCGTCGTCGATTAAAGTCGGCAGAATCTTCGACTAGGACATTCTCCATGGACTAGAAAAATGATTCCAGTTGGAGAGGATGATCGACGTGAGGATTTGTGAAGGGCGTGGCATTTTTAAGGCAACAAACATGTGCAGACGGCTGCTGGTCCGGCCGCCTACAGGTGAGTGTGTGTATTTGCTGTTTAATGTGTTTGTTTATTATTTTAATTGTTTCTTTTTATTTTCAGATTATCAGCTCCGGCTGCATCATCGTTTAGTGGCTTCCAGTTCAGATTCCTTGCACCAGAAGGATATGTATCCGCTTGGAGATTGTGAAGGCGTGAGGATTTGCGGAGGGCGTGGCAGTTTTTGGGCGCCCCGTGTCCAAAACTCGACCAGATTCGAACGGCTTCTGGTCCGGCCGCCTGCAGATGAGTTTTTTGATGGATTTTGCTGTTTGTATGTTTTGTTTTAATTGATTTCTTTTATTTTCAGGTTCGCTGAAGTGGCTGCGTTGGCGCTGTGGATTAAAATCTGTTGTTGCTGCTGATTTCCTGTCGCCTGCAGGTAAGTGTTTTTTATTTTTATTTGCTGTTTTGTGTATTTAGATGTGATTTTAGTGGATTTTAATTGTGATTTAATTTTGCAGGTCAGTTCAAAAATTGGAGTGGGGACAGTTGGCTCCTTAGTTGTATCCCTGCCAGGATACAAGGTTGTCGAGATGGTACCTCAGGGTCCGACGGTACGCTTCAACCCCATTTAAGGAGTCATCTGTCCACGCTTCGTCTCCGTCATCTTCCATCTCATCGCTGTCTGGCTCTGGTTCTGGCGCCGGGTCAAAGATATAGGTGCGCGGCGGCACCGTTTCCGTGCTGAAACGCTGTAATGGATGAGGAGAGGACATTCCCCTCACAGGTTCCGGTGTCGCTGCAGGACCTGGAGTTTCTGCTGCTGGAGGAGCTGGTTGTGGCGGCGCTGCCGTTTGGGCTGCTGGCGTTGTTGCTACCTCTGCTGGCGGAGTCTGAAGATGGATTAATCGGGTAAGTACAGAGAATATTTCCTCCATACGAGACTCTAATTTCTCCAATCTTTTCATGCTCTCTCCCAACGCCTGGCTGCATGATCCGTGGGTCTGAATCGGTTCGGCGTGGCGTTGTTGTCGCTGTGTCTGGCGTCTGGAGCTTGGATTGGCGGCCTGCTGCTGCTGCTGCTGCTGCTGCTGTAGTTGTTGCCTGCCCTGGCGCTGCGTCTGATGTAGCTGCTGCTGCTGATGCAGATGGCGTTGTTGTCGTCTGTCAGCTGGAGTAGCTGGCGTCTGTAATGGCGTCTGGACTGGCGTCATAAATGGCTGTTGCTGCTGCTGCTGCTGCTGCTGTCGTCGTCTGAGCCTGGGGTCGGCTGGCGTCATGATTGGCTGCTGTTGCTGCTGCTGGTGATTGCGCCTGCGCTGGTTGGCTGGCGTCTGGACTTGCTGCTGCTGCTGCTGCTGCTGCTGCTGCTGCTGTCGTGGCCTTGGATTTGCAGCTTCTGTCGGCTGCTGGAGTTGATGCTGGTGCCACTGCTGCCGCTTGTGGTGCACAAGCTCGGCGTTCTTGCGTCGCATCTCCTGCTTCGTCACCCTGTGGGACAGGAGACGGCCCCTTGCTGCCTTGAAGGAGGGACATCCCTTGTAGGCGCTGATGTGACTGCCCTGGCAATTGGCACATTTCGGTGGCTCGGACCGAGGCTTGGCGCATGCAATGGTCATGTGTGCGCCCGCACATTTCATGCAGACAAAGGCGCGTCTGCAGTATGTGCGGGTGTGACCAAATGCCTGGCACTTGTGGCACTGCGCAGGATCCACTGGCTTGGCCTGTCTCACCACTGTGACCGTCTGGGTGCCCAGTTGGGTCAGCTGGAGGACATCCAAGTGACTGCTGTCCGATTTGGGGGCCACTTCCACCTCGAAAGAGTCGAGCGGCTGGCCATCTTTCTTGCTGCGTACGACGCGAATAAATCTTGCCGTATAACCATTTGATTCCAGCTCGTTTTTAATGGTGTTTGGGTTTGTAGAGTGGTGCAGCTGTCGGATTATGACCCGAAACCCACGGTCATGTTTGTGCTGGTGTGTGTAGTGGCCGCCGACAATTTGTCCGTCGCCCAGGACTGCCATGATGGCGTCTCTGGAGGCCATATCTTTCGCCTGTATACGGATCCCAGTTCGGCTGATGAGCTTCGTCGTGTAGTGGAGGTTGCTGACCCTTGGATCCTCGCGAATCAGGTCCAGCAGTGGCATTATGTTTGGGACCGATGGCAGGATTATGGGTGGGGGGATTAGCTGCTGGTTCTGCCGCCGCATCTCCAACAGTTGCCTGGCAGTGGGAACGTGAAGGCTGGAGGGCAGATGCAGGCTGAGGGGGGCACCCCCTCTTCTTCTACTGTCGTAGCTGCTGTTGCTGCTTCCGCTGCTGATGCTGTTGTTGTTGTTGTTGTTGCTTTTGCTTTTGCTTTTGCTGTTGCTGCTGGCAATATTCGCCCCACAATTGGCTGCATTTGCGGGGGTGTGTGGGCGAATTAATTGGGCACCTGTAGCTAAAGTTGGAGCAGAGGCAGGGGCATTTGAGGGGGCAGAAGCAGGGGCATTTAGGGGGGCAGGAACAGGGGCATTATTGGGCATTGGCTGCATTTTTGTTCTTGCCTGGTATTGATGCTGTAGGAACAGCTGCTGGCGTGGCCGTCGTTTAGCCAAGGCGTTATTGGCGTCGTCATCGTCGCCGTCTCTGTCCACGGCCATGGCGTCGCCATGCTCGTCGTATTCGTCATCGTCGTCTTCCTCTTCTTCATCGACGTCAGCATGGGCGCGCTTTAGAGGGGAGCGGGCGGCTCGCTTGGCGGCCGCTGCCGCAGAGGTGGATGGCTGGTCCGAGTTGGCTGCTCTTGTTGTTGCTGTTGTCGCTGTAGTGGTGGTGATTTTGGCTGGCTTCACTGCAGCTTGGGCTGCCGCTGCTGTTGTCTGCTGCTGCTGCTGCTGCTGCTGCTGCTGCTGATCAGGCGGGCCGGATAACAGAGCAGTTAACAGACTTTGTCTGGCTGCTGCTGTTAACGGCTGCTGCGTCGCTGTCGTATTGGCGGGCGGCGCTGCAGCTGCTGTTGCTGTTACAGCCGCTGCTGCTCTTGCTGGCTCTGGCGTCCCGAGCGGCGATCGAACCGAGTTCGAACCAACATTTTGGTTCGATGTCGGCTCTCTTCCGTTCGCTGTCTCTCTGGAGGGCCGCTGTTGCTGTTGCTGNTGCACAAGCTCGGCGTTCTTGCGTCGCATCTCCTGCTTCGTCACCCTGTGGGACAGGAGACGGCCCCTTGCTGCCTTGAAGGAGGGACATCCCTTGTAGGCGCTGATGTGACTGCCCTGGCAGTTGGCACATTTCGGTGGCTCGGACCGAGGCTTGGCGCATGCAATGGTCATGTGTGCGCCCGCACATTTCATGCAGACAAAGGCGCGTCTGCAGTATGTGCGGGTGTGACCAAATGCCTGGCACTTGTGGCACTGCGCAGGATCCACTGGCTTGGCCTGTCTCACCACTGTGACCGTCTGGGTGCCCAGTTGGGTCAGCTGGAGGACATCCAGGTGACTGCTGTCCGATTTGGGGGCCACTTCCACCTCGAAAGAGTCGAGCGGCTGGCCATCCTTTTTGCTGCGTACGACGCGAATAAATCTTGCCGTATAACCATTTAATTCCAGCTCGTTTTTAATGGTGTTTGGGCTTGTAGAGTGGTGCAGCTGTCGGATTATGACCCGAAACCCACGGTCATGTTTGTGCTGGTGTGTGTAATGGCCGCCGACAATTTGTCCGTGCGGGTCCTGACGGTACTACCGCAGAGACCTCCGGTATAGGAACCGGACCTACGCCTAGGGTCAAGCCGACTACTCGAAGCAGCACATCACCTCCAACGACTGGGAACCTAGGAGCGCTTAGTCCAGGTCGTCACCGTAATACAAACCCTGGCTACCGTCCTAATACCCACCCCCCTAATCGACGACCAAGACGGCGGCTATCTCCAACAGTTGCCTGGCAGTGGGAACGTGAAGGCTGGAGGGCAGATGCAGGCTGAGGGGGGCACCCCCTCTTCTTCTACTGTCGTAGCTGCTGTTGCTGCTTCCGCTGCTGATGCTGTTGTTGTTGTTGTTGTTGCTTTTGCTTTTGCTTTTGCTGTTGCTGCTGGCAATATTCGCCCCACAATTGGCTGCATTTGCGGGGGTGTGTGGGCGAATTAATTGGGCACCTGTAGCTAAAGTTGGAGCAGAGGCAGGGGCATTTGAGGGGGCAGAAGCAGGGGCATTTTGGGGGGCAGGAACAGGGGCATTATTGGGCATTGGCGGCATTTTTGTTCTTGCCTGGAATTGATGCTGTAAGAACAGCTGCTGGCGTGGCCGTCGTTTAGCCAAGGCGTTATTGGCGTCGTCATCGTCGCCGTCTCTGTCCACGGCCATGGCGTCGCCATGCTCGTCGTATTCGTCATCGTCGTCTTCCTCTTCTTCATCGACGTCAGCATGGGCGCGCTTTAGTGGAGAGCGGGCGGCTCGCTTGGCGGCCGCTGCCGCAGAGGTGGATGGCTGGTCCGAGTTGGCTGCTCTTGTTGTTGCTGTTGTCGCTGTAGTGGTGGTGATTTTGGCTGGCTTCACTGCAGCTTGGGCTGCCGCTGCTGTTGTCTGCTGCTGCTGCTGCTGTTGCTGCTGATCAGGCAGGCCGGATAACAGAGCAGTTAACAGACTTTGTCTGGCTGCTGCTGTTAACGGCTGCTGCGTCGCTGTCGTATTGGCGGGCGGCGCTGCAGCTGCTGCTGTTGCTGTTACAGCCGCTGCTGCTCTTGCTGGCTCTGGCGTCCCGAGCGGCGATCGAACCGAGTTCGAACCAACATTTTGGTTCGATGTCGGCTCTCTTCCGCTCGCTGTCTCTCTGGAGCGCCGCTGTTGCTGTTGCTGCTGTTGCTGTTGCTGTTGCTGTTGCTGCACACGAAGCTGCAGTTCGGGCCTTCCATTGGTGTGGCTTTCTCCCGCTCCTTGCCGTTTTCGGCTCTCTCCACCCTTGTCGGCGTCAGCAAGCGGGACGCTGATTTCGTCACCGTTGCCGTTGCATTTGCCGGTATTGGTGTGTGTGCGAGTGTGAGAGGGAGGCGGAGAAAAATGCATCTTTGGCGCGCTAGCGGGGGCTTGGCTTGGCGTCGCTTGGGATAGCGGTGCCTTGGCGCGGGCTGACGCCTCTGCCGCTGCCGCCGCGGCCATCGCCTCCAGGCCGGGATGGCTGGCGCTGCTGATGCCGCTGCTGCTGACGCTTATGATGCTGTTGCGGGCGCTGGGGGGGATTTGTAGCGGGCTCGTGGCCGNCTCTGCCGCTGCCGCCGCGGCCATCGCCTCCAGGCCGGGATGGCTGGCGCTGCTGATGCCGCTGCTGCTGACGCTTATGATGCTGTTGCGGGCGCTGGGGGGGGGGATTTGTAGCGGGCTCGTGGCCGGTGTGTTGGACACCGTGGAGGCCACCTCCATCATCATGGCGGCGACCATGTCGTCCGTGTTGAGTGGATCCACTGCGTCCATCTGGGCGGATGCAGCGGAGGATGCAGCCGAGAGCCTTCTCTGCTGGTATAGCTGGACTGCCGCCGCCAGCACCGCTTCGGCTGCCGCTACATTGTCCATTTTGGCATCGACCTGGCTGAGATCGGCGTCCGAGTCGTCGTCTGGCATGGAATTGGCTGCGCCATGGTAATCCCTGGCTGCGTCTAATTCGACTCGTCGTCTTTGTTGCTGCTGCTGCTGCTGCTGTTGTTGTTTCTGCTGCTGGTGGTGGTGGTGGTGGCCATGTCCTCGTCGGGAATTGGGTTTTCGGGGCATTTTGCCCTGTCGTATTGGTGGTCTGGAGTTGGTTTGATTTACCGGCGGCAATTAATTGTCAATTTTAATTAGGGTTATTAGCGCGTCGCGTCGGCCGTGTGTGTGTGGGTTTGATTTTTTAATTTGGCTTTTAATATTTGTCGTTTTTGTGTGTCGTTTTGCATGTATTTATTTATTGGCTGTTTAATGTCTTTTCCACTCTCTTTTATTCCCCCTCTCTCCCCTTTTGGGAAGAATTAAAATGGCTGGGAATATTGTTTAATTGTTTTATTTTATTTATTTATTCTGCCTTCTTCGCGCTCATCTCCGGGACTTGAGTCTCTTTTTTATTTTAAATTTTTAATTGTCAGGTACTTATTTTCTTTCATTTGCGTTGAACAGAACAATTACAATATTTGATCTTAATTTAACATGGTGGTTTTTACACTTAAAATGTGCCTTAGCTATGTCTGGAGTGGACGGATTTAAACAATTGACAATAGACCAAGTTGCAACATTTACACACACATGAAAAATGAATTTTAAAAATGGGTCAAACGCACAGGAAAAAAGTCACACAAACAAAAAATTTGGGAGAGGCAGTTGCCCGCATATATAATATGCAAAGTGGTCGGTATATGGGCAGATAATTAGCACAAGCAATCTTTGATTTAATTGCTGTATTTAAATCACACACTAATTCGCGCAAGACACTCTCTTCACACACACTACTCCGATTCCGCTCGACTTGTACTTGTTTTATTGGCGGGGGCGGACACGAAAAAAATATAATTATTCGCCAGAGCTGCATACGCACTGCTGGCTGCCGGGGCTCAAGAACGACTCCAAGAGCGATGCCTCGAGCGATGCCAATATTGCTACAGGCAATTACTCGAGGGGATCGGCTCCAGTGAGGTCTCCCCCGGCATACCCGCAGTACGTGTGTCTGTCGATCGGTCAGTCAGGGTAATTGGGGAGAGTACAAGTGAGAGTCAGAGTGTTTTTTAGTTGTGTGCAGTGCCTAAAAGAATGCTACGAATTAGTGTGACTTTGTCAAAAATATACTTGTGCTTTGGCTAACGCCCAGGAATTGAAATAGTCAAGTAGGGGGACTTTGCATACATAAAGAAATTTGTACATTTACATCTAGAAACCCTAAGGCAGTCAACATAAACAGACATTTTGTTTTGACGATATTGCGGCACGTGTGTCCTTCGACCCCTTTCTTACCCTTGCCACCTGCTGAAGGCAGGTGACTAGGAATGCAGCGTAGGTGCATGTGGGTCGGGCAATATATGAGGGGACGGTACTGGCATATGTAACGACACTGAAACATATTTGGCACTAATACGGGACAAAAATAATAATGAAAAATTCACACATATTAGGCCGTGACGGCTGGCGACGAATTTGCCTGCCAGAGTCCGAAATTAATATTTTCCAGACAATGGCAGGCAAATTGCCGCGCAATACAAATTTGCCGAAACATTTGCTGGCAGTTTTTAATGGCAAGTGTGAATATGAATATTCACACTTGAGTTGTTTCGTCAGTTGACGGAGAAATTTAGGGGCCTTTTTTGGGTTATTAGCAGG